AGAAGCAAGAAGCCAGGCAAGGCCAGATGCTGGGATGTTTCCCTTCCCCATTCTCCTCTCATTTCTACTAATCCTAAACATGACTCATTCTCAACACAAGCCCTCATTTTCTGAGATGCCAGCTCAGTTCTAAGGATTCCTTTGTTCTTTTCATCCCTTTTGAACAGGCTTCTTGCTGTACTTGACCCTGTGTACTGCTACAGTCCCAGTTTCGACATTTCAATTATTCGTGGTATTGCTGTTTGCAACCTTGCAAAGACTTCCATTCGGGAGTTCTGCAAAGCTGGTTTGAGGTAGTGGGTCACCAGCCAAGTGAGTGAACCCAGGAAATCAGCCCACATTGTTGTCCAACATACCTCTGATGATGTCAAGTTGTTGCTGCATGAATATTTCATGGCAATTATATGCTGTTGTGGAATTTGAGGATTGGGAATTTTCTAAATTCTCCAGATGAATTCCTAAATAACATCAGTGGCCTATGATATGATGATTTATTGATTTTTAGTTTCCTCTTATTCCTTAGTCAGATTTAGTCAACTAAATTTCAAGACTTTTTATGAATGAGCTGAGTTTCTTTTCTCTTGGTTCCCTGAAAATTTAGCCTAAACTTGCCTTCAGAACAAGTATTCAACCTGCAGTTGTTGGATTAAGTCAATGACTACATCTTGTTACCATTTTAATTTTTGTAACTATAGACAGTCATTTACTTCAATTGTCCAGTTACACCTGACATAAAATATGACGTTTTCCCTAGCGTGGTAAACAGGGAAGTAAAATACAAAAGAATTTGGTGTAATACTCATTTTTTTTAAACAAGAAAAGAACTACAGACCATTTGTAAGGAAATTTACATTATCTTGTTCTGTTTACAGACTGTATCTGTCTTCCAGTAGATTTTCCACTTGTTCTAATGACTTGCTGAAACGGAAAAATACTCAACCTCCTTTACAAAGTAATGATTATGAGTACCCAACCACATCTCCCTGCTTCCAGATTATGTTTCTTTTCACTTTAATTTTTAAAGAATGTTCTTTTACTTTGGAAAATGATGGCAGGACTTTATGGCTAATTACGGGTACAAATATATCACACTGATTACCCCAGACCTGACACCACACACACACACACACACACACACACATTTAGCCCATCCACTGAAAAGTGGCTATAATGTTTTTATGTATAGAACTCTAACATTTTTCATTTTGTCCAACTTATTGTTTTACCCTGTGCAGTGACTTTGAAGTGAATTGCATTTTTTCCAGTACTACTTCCCATCGTGCACACATTCACACAACATTTCCAATGCCATCACTCTAAGTCAGACTTTCACCGTTTTATACCTGGGCTAACTTGATAGTCTTCCAGAGGCTATTTTGTAGTGGTCACTTTCCCTCTTAAATATTCTATGCTTGCAGCCATAAAAGCCCTCCCTCCCCCCAGCAGAAATAAAAATGCCTCTCCAGTATAGTTCCAGCCTCCTGTCAAGACTTCTCTACTGCTTCTCACCCCCCGACCCCTCGTCCCCTGCAGCAACAGCCTTCTGCCGGCCTCGCGTCCGCTCAGCGCGGACGGTGCTCTCGCACCTCCGTAGCTTTGTTCCTGTCCCGCCTGCCACAGTCTCTCGTCCCACCTCTACCTAAATTTTATGTACTCCTAAGGCCTGCACCAAATGTTTGCTCCATAAACCCTTTCCTGAAAAAATCACCTAAAACCTCATCCTTAACTCTATATCAGAAGCACATATTACTACACGTGTGTCTGGTAGTCAACTATTTACTTTCTTATTTTGTGGTTGCTGACACACATCACTTTTTCCTAGATTGTACGCACTTTGTGGGCAAGGACTGTGTCTGGCCCATCTTTGCATCCCCATATTGTTTACTTCTGTGCTTTTCCTATAATATGTGCTCTGTAAATATTTGTTCACTGGATGAACATTCACTTATCTATACGATATTTTCAGCACAATAATGGGGCACATCAATAGAGAAATCTATTGAGGGGCATACAAATCAGGCCTCAAAAGTTCATGTAACTATGAACTACAGTTTGAGCAATTTCATAAATTATAATCTCTTGATAAAATGACAGATGCCAATATGAAAACACAAAGTGGAAAAGAGATTTTTTCTGCATTTACTCAGCATACTTGAACTAGAACAGTGGCTGTTTCATGATGCTGAATCCCTTGGTCGGGTACTTAATCTGTATCATATGTTATCAAGAGAGGGGATTGAAGTCCAACTATTATTCATCCACACTTGTATGATCTCAACTAAAACACTACAGAGGGAAAAAACTTTCAGTGATTGAGAAATTAAGCTGTACACATTTTATGTTCTATTCTGTTTTTAAGTGAACTTAAAGGCATAGCTTCCTGGATGAAAACAAATCTTACTAATTTGATTAATGATGGCTCCTACTAGGAATGAGACGCATGTACAGTGTATTAAAACCTTCCGTTTCTGGAAATTTTTAATGCTTTTTAGTGTATTTTTCTTTGGGGGCCCATTCAGACCTTATATCTTCCTGAGAAATAATTGCAGTTATATCTTATATATAATATATATGACATGTATATATATTAATAAATCATTTTCCTTAAAACGTTGTTATTCTGTCTATGCTCCCTAGTCTTTTTTCCAGACCATTCCTTAGCCGCAAACTTCCATTTTCTGGCTGATTTTCCTGATAGAGTCTAACCACACTCACTCACATGCCCACACTCCTAGACTTGTGTTTGCTTGGTGAGCTCTGCCCACTTCCTTCCCTGGCCTCCATCCCCCAGGAGCTGTGGGATTGCAGTGATTCACACCTCTTCCTCTTCTCCCCTCTTCCGGCACACACACTTGGTGTCATCCCAGAATGCCAGAATCAGATGGGACTCATTTTATAGGGAAGCATTTGGACTGAGAGCCATATATGATTTCACTGAAGAAGAAAAAGAACGTCACCAGTGGGTGTCATCCTCACTGCTCAGACTACCTGTCCTGGCCGTGGAATAATGGAGCTGGAAAGGAAAGATGCATAAACTACCTGATGCAGTGGTTTTCAAATTTAGATTTATAAAGTGAATCCAAGTGGGCTTGCTATTGCCTAAAGAAGGAGGGGAAAAAGGACTCTGCATCCTGGCACTAGCCTGTGGGCACACCCACGTAGCAGTCTTTAAACCAATAACCTGAGCTAAATGTCACAGTTTGCAGATAAGGAAGCTGAGCCCAGAAAGTTTAAGTGACCTTCATGGTCACATAACCGGCGTGCAGAGCTGATTCCAGATCCCAAGGTACAAAGCACAGTGTTCTTTCCCAGGCCTTCCCATTGCACCAGATAACTGATGAATTAAGAGCTCGTTTCTACTCACTGGACCAGCCCAGTTCATCTCTGTGCCCAGCCGAAGTGCAGTGTATGAGAACTGTTATCCCACTCAAAAATCATTCATTATTGAAGGATTTTCACGATGAACAGAAATCACCCCAAATACCAGAAACAGTGTGGCGAACCACAAGGGACAGTGCCACGTGTGTTTTTAGCTGCCCCCCCACACCCCGTTCCAGGAGGGCTCTCTAGCTGAGTGGCCAGATACCCCATAACCGACCTGCCTCTTAAGTCCAGCCCAGAGCAGCCCAACACATCCTGAGTCTGCTCATCCCTTCGAGGGTGGTCTCTTCCTTTTTCCATCAACAACTTGGGACGCTAACCATAGGCATTAGAGGGCCTTGATGGTGGCCTTAGAGCAGAGTCCCCACGGAGCTGCCATTACAGGCCCGCCACAGCGGCACCCTCCTCCACAAGCCACCCTGTGATTAATGCAATCACCCTAATTGTTGGCCTCCTTTTTGAGAGTCTTGGCCACACGGGGAAACGTTGAATGTTTTCCCTGAATGCATTCTTTCCAAACAACTGTGTGTCCTTAGTTGTGGAACATGATGTCATGAGTTCTGATGAGGGGCTTGCCCTGGAGAAGCTGAAGATTGTCCCCAAAGGCCTAACAGAGCCAGTTCAGCTCACGTCCCACACATGCATCCCCGGGGCCACACATATGCTGACAGTTACTCTAAAATTAACAAAACAAGCTTGCGGCTCTTTTGCTCTGTGATTAACAAAACAAGCTTGCGGCTCTTGCTATTGTACTTTTTACTCTGTACCTTTTGAGAGCACATTGGGAAATAAAATCTTCCTTTTCCCTCATACTCTTCAGACTTGGCATACAATACTTTTTGTTCTTGTTGTTTTCCTGGTCAGAAGTTAATGCTAAGTCAGACAAGTCTGATGAGAAACTTGGGTTCCATCCAGAAAAATGATAGCTGTTTGTTCTCAAGCCAGACCACTTGAGGGCAGTACAGCCTCAGAAGTGTGTTTTGACCAACATACTCCGCCTAAGAAGAAAACGGACAGTGTGGGGTTTACACTACTCTATTGGAATTCAGGAAATAAACTGTAAACAATAAGAAACACTCCCTGGGAGTCATATCAGATTTTAAAATGAAGGAATAAATGTCTAACTTTAAATGTACTTACATAATTTTCTTATATAATTGTTTGAGGCAGGCACAATATAAGCCACTCATATGATGGAGATTTAAAACTGGAGTGTTATTTAAAACATAAAAGGACAGCATAAAAACAAAAAAAGCTAAACTTAAAATATATTAACCTGGGAACAAAATCAGGATATGTTTTCAGGTCCTTGTGATCCTCTTGGAGGACACAGTTTTTCACAACTAATATGCCCTTATTATAACCGTTTTTAACCTGAGCAGAAATGTTGCTTCTCTGCCTTTCTTTGGTATTCTGGGAGTAAACCTGGGATGGGCAAGTGAAGATAAAATAAGGAGGCTTACGAGGAGAGGGGGGAGAAGGAGGAAGGCATTGTATTCTGTCGTTGGAGAAAAGCCGACTCTGAACTCTGGGGAAGTGTCTGCACTGACCCAGATCACAGGGAGGCATGCTGACTCCACTCATTTCCCACGTCTCCCCCATCCACTGTTAGTACGTACCTTTTGGTAGTTTTCACAGGATGTTAATAGACAAGTTGCAGTCGATGTGTACTTTCTCTTTCCAAATATCAGTGCGTAACAGAGCCCAGTGGTTGCCTCCCGAAGCCCATCTGGAAGGAATTCTGTGTTCCTCGCTCTGCTCTTCTTTATGCGCTACAGGAAGAACACGATAGTTCTTGAATGCATTTCCAAGATTATTCAGAGACCAAATGTACTTTCAGCACAACTCTTTGAGACTGATCGTGAGGGAGCAGACCTCCAAAAAACTCCCTCAAGCGTGGGGGGTAAGCTCAGCTTCTTTCTTGAGAGAGCTGAGGTGATAAGGTATGAACTCCTTGGTTTTCCTCCCTTCGTTTCAATTTTTCCCCTTTGATCTCTTACAGCCATCTTGCTCCATTAAATATTTTTCCTAACTCCACCCTTTTCTCATCAACATTTCCCACCACAGTTGCAGGGGGAATAAGAAGTCCCTTCTCTGCCTTATTCCCTTTCCCCAGGTCCTTTCCTCTCTCCTTCCGTTCATAGTAGATTTCTTGAAAGGTCTTCACAGGCCTCTGTGCCTCTGCTCCCCCCACTCTCTCCCTCGTATGATCCCCCCCTCACCACCTTCAGCAGTTATCCTTTAGAGCTCATCAGTAATCTGCTTGTCACCAGCTTGTCCACTGATTTCTTTTCAGCGGTTCTCCTTACTGCATCATATGTCTGTTCCCACAGTGTGGCGTTAGCCAAAATCCATGCCTCTGCCTTTGAAATTCTTTCCTCCCCAGGATTCAGTAACACAGGTCCTGCTCAGTCTCTGCTGAGCTGATTTCTTCTACTCTCCCCTTAAATGTGGAGGTGTTTTAGTCCTCAGGACCCCTTCTACCTTCCTCTGTCAAGTTCATCTGATCCCACAGCTTTAACTACCACCTCTTTGCTTTTGACTTCCCGGTATATATTTCTCTTCCAAGCTATGTAGCTCACGGGCTAATGGAATATTTGTCATTTCACAAACAAAAATTTCCAAAACAGGGTTCATCTTTCCCGCACAGCCTCCCCATCTCCTTGTCACAAAATAGCTTCCCTTCCTTACCATTCCTCAAGTCTCAAGGCAAAATTTCAGTCATCTTGGACTCCTACCGTGCCATCTGTAAACATACTGGAGGGGAATAAAGGATGATGAAGTGTCTTTTTAGAGTCTCTTATATTCAGAGTAACTACTCTACTTAATGCCTCATTTCATCACCTGGACTTTTGCAGTGATTGCCAAACTGATGTCTCTGTCATTAATCTTTCTCTTCTCCATTACTATCAAACCAGTACTGGGACACTATCTATTTTACAAAGCAGTCGTGTCCATACAAAAGAAATAGGTAGCATTAGTTGCTTCCAGAATAAACAGCAGGGGCACAGGGGTAGAAGGAAGGGAAATTTTACATATATGTACCATCTTATTTCTTTAAAATTCTGTGCCCCATGGATATATTAACTATTAAGAATATTGTTTAATAGATATACAAGGTCGTACAGTACAGCTCGGGGAATTATATTCATTATTCTGTGAATAACCATAATGGGAAAGAATACAAAAAAGAATTTATATTTAGCATAACTGAATCCCTTTGCTGTATAGCGGAAATTAATACAACCTCATAATTCAACTATTTTGTTGTTGTTGTTTAATCACTAAGTCATGTCTGATTCTTTGCGACCCCATGGACTATAGCCCGCCAGGCTCCTCTGTCCATGGGATTCTCCAGGCAAGAATACTGGAGTGGGTTGTCATTTCCTTCTCCAGAGGATCTTCCCAACCCAGGGATCGAACCCACGTCTGCTACACTGCAGGTGGATTCTTTACTGCTGTGCCATGGATGAAACCAAAAAAATTTTTTGGCTGCACTGCCCAGCATGCATAACTTCAACTATACTTCAATTAAAAAAAAAAGAATACTGTTAAACATTGTGTTACCTACTAAATTAAACAATTGAAACATCCTTTTTAGCTACTCTTCTCAAAATCCTACATACATTGCCTTCAGGACAAAAGTCAAGCTTCATCTTACTGTTTGGAGCTCTCTGAGGTACGGTCAGAGCCCCCCTTGTAACCTTTCTCCTGATCTGCTTTCTGTGCAGCTCACACTCCACGGGCCAGGCATATGCCATCGCTCTGGATTCTGAGGCGTCCCTGCCCTTGTTTATGAAATTACCTGTGCACGTGACCGTTCTTATGCTATTCAATGCTTTTCACATGATGGGTTCTCAGAGAATGTTTTCTGAATGATGTTGGTCCTTGGTACACCAAGAAATCCAAAATTAGCGTAGTTTAGCTATGAGACCCAATGGCATCCTCATGTCATCACGGGTGCTGGCACTGCCATTAAGAAGTACAAAGCTTGGTGGGTCCCCTTTAAGTCAGTCCTTCTCTAATTGTGGCCCTAGACCATCTGCTGCAGGAATACCTGGAGTCCTTGCTAAAATGCAGATTTCTGGGCTCCAGTTGAAATGTGATGGTTTAGAATCTCTAGGGGTAGGACCGGGCAATCTGATAACAACAAGTATCCCAAGGTGGCCCTCGTATACAGACACTCAGGTTTGAGAGCTCCCGCTTTAACAGGATAGAGCAGGAGCGGGCTTTGGGGGAAGGTTTTCAAGAGGAGAGCATCCCTGAGATTTCTTCCCAGAGATTTTCAAGCTGATCCTGCTTGTCTGCTGAACATTCCTCGGCTCCTGCCAGTCCTTCAACCCTGCTTCATGCGCCTGGCTATGCCTCGTGCTCCTGGAACAGGACTCGTCCTCTGTCTCTCCTTTCAGGAGACTGACAGCGGAGCTGTTAAGCTGATTCCCTGCAGTATCTGGTGCTGGCACCTCTCAACTGGAGAGGGGTGCCTCAGAGTTCAACAATAATCTCACCTTTTCCCCATCTTCTCTTCTTTCCTGTAACTGCTGTGAGCGGGTGATTATCTCTGCATTGTAGACATGAGAATTCTGAGGCAGGAAAATGTTGAGACCTGCTTAAGCCTCTGACATATTAATAGAGTTAATGTCAAAGCCTAGTCATCCAAATTGGCATCCCTAGAGACCATTTTGTCAATCAGTAAGTCAATCAATTAATCAACAAGTATTTACTGAATGTGGATTAGGCATCCAGAAGCATCTTGTTTTAACATCTGTGGGCTCGACTGGACCCTGCGCAGAGCTTGGTTCAGTGACCTTACATTCTCCCTGACCTAGGATCTAATTCTGTACTATGCCGTCCACACTTGCCTGCCTTTATGGTTATGTCAGTTTGCTCAGCTGTATTTCTCATGAACACCACCATTCACTACATAATTCCGTAGCCCTTAATGAAGTTGAGAGGAACAGAGATGTAGGCCAGCTCCTCCAATGTGAGCAGTTGTTCAGCAATTTTAATTTGATGTTGTTCATCTGAAAATGCTGGGTTTTCCTTGGACTTCCATTGAACTAAAATGAGAAACTCAACAAACAAGTGTATGACTCCATGAAAGAAAGTTCTTTTTTTCTTCTAGCCTGCCATTCTATGTTATACTCAGAAATGCCCACTCAGAAGGCAGGGTGGGACACGTTGAGAGTGTGACACTGACATTTATACACTGCCACGTGTAAAGCAGATGGCGTGGGGGCCCGAGCTCGGCGCCCTGTGATGACCTAGCGGGGTGGGTGGGGTGGGGCGGGAGGGAGGCTCCAGGGAAGGGGATGTAGGTATAGTTGTTGCTGACTCACTCTGTTGTGCAGCGGAGACTAATACAACATTGTCAAGCAATTACACTCCAATTAAAAAAAAATTTAAAAAACCCAACTCGGCATCAATGGCCTTCATTTTGACAATTTGAAATCCTTTTACATGCTAAGGTTTATTTTTAAATCCACCCATGTTCCCCAACCCTGTACACCTTCCCCATATCAATAGGCAGACAGAATGTTCTTATGCTATAGCCCACATTTACTGACACTTATATTTTCATTTATTTTCTAGCAGTCACATGGAGACCATAGCCATAAATGTACAGCACAGTTTGCCATTTTCTACCAGCTTAGTTTTTATGAACCAAAGATAGTAAAGTAAGTTCAATCTATCTAAAAATGTCAACTCAAATGGAAAGTTCCAAGAGTGTCTTATAGGTTATCACACATTCTGCAAGGTCACTCAGAGTGTTGAAAATCAGATTTCAACAATAATAGGTTTACCTGTAGGGAGATAGCATCTGATCAAAATCACCAAGGATAAGATCTGAAAAAATGTTGGCCTTTTATCTTTCTTAGACTTTGTGTGTTTTTAAAAGTAGTGCAGAAACTTGACTTTGATCTCAACCAGCATTGATTGTATCAAAGGTATGTAAGGGAAACACTGCTGGCCTGTCCCAGGCTTGAGAGGAGATAGTTGTCACATGTGGCCACTTCTACTGTCTCAGTATACGAGTGGGCTAGGGCTAGAACTGGGCTGAGCCACTGTGGGCAGCAGAGACCACAGTCCACTGAGAGGGATTTGGTTAGCAACTCTACTTCCACATCGTTCCACACGCTATTTCAGGCTGACTGTTGTACACACTCTTCCTTTTTCCATCTCATCTAGCCGTTAAATCAATGCCCTGGCTGGATCAGAGGAACCAGGAAACACAATGTTACTCAGCATGCTATTGACATTTCCCTCTAAAGCTTCCAACAACTTCCCCTACCAACATCTCTGAAAGGGCTGAAAAATTCCAGTGGGGTGCTGTTACCCATTCACGTGTGGTGCGCTGCGTGCTATGTCTCATCGGTAAAACCACCACAGTTTTGCTAAATTATGCCAAGACAAAGTCTTTTTTGGATATCTCATTATCCTTATCATTGTTCTAGGTGAAATTACAGATAAATACTCTCTAATGAGTTAATTATAGATATCCAAATGGATGAGTGTAAAAGTTAATGGACTGGATCAAGTTCACAGAACAAGTTAATAAAGGTAGAACAGATGGAGAACTAAGGTCTAAGTCCTTCTTCTAGAACTATGATAAAATTCACTTCCTCTCAGAACATAGACAAACCCACTCAAAAATACATCAAGGAAAAGAAATCAAATAATATGCTTTTCACTCTTTAGAATTTCACTTTGATTCAAAGATAATGTTGTCTTAGTTATTTCTAGTTTGACTTTTTTTCAGATTATTAAAATATACAATATGTATCAGAATCATTGCTTTTAGACTCTTTTCTTAATACTGATGCATCTAAGACCAGACAAAGAATTAGATGGCTGTTTAAATATACTAGCAGCGCTATTGCTATGTTCCATTTTTATTTTTAAAATAGTTATTTTTATAGTCACTTATTGCATCTCTAGGTGTTTTCCATGTTTTTCTATATTCATAAAAACATATAATGACTATATTATCATCACAACTCTGCAGAAAAGAAAAGTGACATAGAAAAGTTATGTAACTTGGAAAATAACTATCTCAGTGCCTGATGTGTAATAGTTTCTCAATATATATTTGCTAAAATTATCATTATTTTCCCTAAGTTCATACAAGCTACTAAATGGGGGAATTTGAGTTCAAACACAAATAAAACAGAATGCGTTTGGTACTATGATTTATGCACTGCCTTGATTTTCAAACTCAATTTTATGAGCAAAAGCTATTTTCATCCTGTTTATTTGAACAACTAGAGCAAATATTTTATAAATTTTATTTGTCTGTCAACATCTCTAACATTAATTTAGACACATGTGCACCTGTGTCTAATTTTTTTTTTCTGTTTTGGTTTTGTGTTTAGCTTTTCATATTGTACACTGGCATGTTTTTAAGAGCACTTTTAGGCCAAATTCTCCCTGGAGATGGGAGGAAGGTGTTAATGGAGAGGCACATAAGTGAAATGAAACAACCCTGTTGGAGGGAAGAGCAGGGAACTTCCCTAAAAGCCAAGGCTCCTAGCACAGCCTTATACAGCAGGTTGGCTGACACCTCCTTCTAAAAATAGGAATTGCTTGGACTCTACAAGGTGGGACATTTGAATTCTGTTTTATTTCTAACTGACGTTTTAGAGAGTGCATCCAGTATTTCTTTTAGGAAAGCTCCAAGGATTGTTGCTTTATTTATGTTCTTCTGAAGAAAATCTATAAGAATTTGGACTTCTATTTGTAAATTAATAAATGACTGTACCTTTCATTTTGGCAGAAGGAAGGGATTCAGTTAATGTTAAGATGAAGCGCTCCAGATCCAGACCCCCATCCCCTTTCCCCGGAAGCACAGGTGTCAGCGTCACAGGAGCCTCGCTCTTGGCTCTGCTCAGGCGCCCTTCCCTGCAAGAGGTAGTGGCCGAGGAGCTTCAAAAGGCAATGTACACCTCCCTCTTCTTCTTCTTCCTCTTCTCTTTTTTATTCTTCCTCCTAAAGTTTAGTAACTTCAGCCTTAAAGGTCTCTAGACTTTCACGGAAGGCTCAACTTTGATTAAAGTTCCTCTCAACTGGTTCAGAGTGATTAAACATCACTCAACTGGTATGGATGATGAGCAGCAAGTCTCATAG